AAAAAAAAAAAAAAAAAAAAAAAATATATATATATATATATTTGTAGATATATTTGCAACTGTTTCAATGGTACCACAAGATACTTTTAGTGCATCAGACTTAAAGATAAAGTAGGAAAAAGTGTACAAAAGTTTGTATACATATTTAAATAGGCATTTTGTTTTTAGGGTTGGTTATTTTTCCTTTGAGCCATTAGTCATTGAGTAACTTCAGTAAAACTTGGGCTATATCCCTTCATTAAAAGCATCAATTACACTTATATGTATTGTCTTTATAAACTTTGGTCCTTAAAGACTAGTAGTTCTGTAATTCTATTTTCCTTGTTTGCAAAGACACTGTCCCCTATCTGCCTCAAGTAGATAAGACCTTCCAGGGAGTGAAAAATAAAAAAAGGGCATGAATTCCACCCTTTTGGTATCACCTTAGAACTGTTTTCAATTTTTACTAGATGCATTGATGTCTAAGGTGAAATTTTACATTTGATCCATATTCATTTACATGTACTTCTAGATCTTAAAAAAAATTACCAGTAACTTCAAAGGAAGAAAAACCAGAAAATTTACTATTAAATTAATAACCAGTAAATGCACTACTTCTTAGAGAACAGTTTTGCACAGTGTAACTGTTCTCCTATGACTGATACTGTGTTTAAAATCTGAACTTTATTCAGACTTTATAAGTAATTTCTCAGGCAATCAGAAAGTTAATTAAACAGTTGTTCTATTAATAAAATTTAGATTTTTACAAAGCACTTTTCAAACAAAATCTTCATATTTAGAGTTTACATTTAATCTGTACTTGTTATGATTTGTAGTTTCCAGTATTTTCTTTTGATATTTTTCCTCTAAATGATTTGAGTCAATTTAAAAGAACATGTGGATTAAATCACATTTTCTTGTATCTAGTGATTGACATTTTATATTATTAACATCAGGTTTAAGATAGAAGTGAAAATTCTCAATTCAGTCTATTACATATATCTTCTAAAGTTTAAGATTATATTTTATGTATATTATGAGCAAATATTTATTATAAATTAATTATAACAACACCACATCTAGAATATGTGTTTAAACTAGTGTTTCAACATTTTCATAAAACTGTTATTTTTTTCATTCCAGAGTGACAGTGTAACATAAGTGGATTGTCAAAAACAGCTTCCTAAAGATGCAAATATCTTGGAACAGGTTTAAAAATAAAGTTTGCTTTAGAAGAGCAGTGACTGATAGACAAAGAAAAGGAGAATGAGGTGGATAGAAAAAAGACTGAATATTCATTCTTTAAATACACATTTGAGTGCACTCTGCTGGACACTGTGAAAAACATTATTAAACCAAATAAATACAAGTTCAATGCCCAGGGAATATAATAGTAAGTAGAATGTAGAATGTAAGTAAGATCACAAAACTGAGAAATGAAAAAGAGTACTGCTGACATTCAACTGGTTCACATGTACACGTACCTCAAGACTGTTCAATAAAGAAGACTCTCCTTCCAGAAAAGCTTTCCTTAAACCCCCAAGGTTAAAGTCATGCCCCTCATAAGATCTCCCATAGTTCCTGTGTAGACAGATTATTAGGTCCTCAAGCCCCATCCCCAGCTAGGAGCATCCGCGACATTCACAGTATTGCCCTATCACTCTTGCATTATCTTCCCCATATCCCAGGTGATCAGTGATCTATGACTGGTGTGGGAGTACAAAAGCCCAGCTCTTACCTTCAGCTGAAACAAACTTCCGAATGTATACTACAAAGTTCCTCCTGAGATTAGGTTTGTCTGGGACTTTAACTTAAATGCCACCCTTGCCAAGTTTCTTCCCCTTTTCTATCCTGCCTCCTCCACATTCTTTTTGGCTCCTCCTGCGAGCTTTTCCTGAATAAATCACATGCACCTGGATCTTTAGCTTATGATGTGCTTATCAGATACCCTCACCTAAGACAGACATCTTTCATTATACGTATCAAAAATCACTATACTAGCTGTTTACTGGTTATTTTGGGATCATGTACTCTTCATCTTTGTGTCTTCTAAGTATGACACAAAATAGTAAATTTAATCCTATTGGTTTGCTGATGCTGGAATAACAGAATGCCACAAACTGAGTGGCTCTGAATAACAGAAATTTATTATCTCACAGTTCTGGAGGCCAGAAGTTAAAATTTAAGGTGTCGGTGGGACTATGCTCCCTCTGAAGCTACTAGAGAAAGATCTGTTGCAGGACTCTCTCCTAGCTACTGGCAGTATAACTCCAATCTTCACATAATGTTCTCCTGTATATGTCTCTTCACATGGCATTCTTTTATTAAAATACCAATTTATTGGATTATGGACCCACATTACTCATGTAGGACCTCATCTTAATTTAACTAATTACATTTACACTGACCCGATTTCCAAATAAGGTCACATTCTGAGGTACTTGGGGTTATTATGTCAAATATGAATT